GGGTTGAGATGATAATGTTTCTGAACTACAATCGCGACTTGTGGGACCTGAGTGCGGTGGACAAGGTACGCTCGAGTATGGGCCGAAATAATACAAATAATTGAATTATTAATTTACTCAGCTCACATCGATGTATTAATCTAAGTATTGCATTTTCGGGTTCCCTGCTGCTCACATTCCGTAAAAAACGCATCTTGTGTGTCCACAGCACGTCGGATTTCTACTTCTGTTTCTCCTACTTTATTTAATATTGGCGTTGTGGCACAGTTGCTAGCACTTTCCGAGCGATTAGGTGTGTGCCATAATTGCCTATTACAACAGAATCGGTGAAGATTGGTGTCCACGCATTTTTTTGTGCTGGAGCCAGCTCTTTCTTGTGCTACACGGCTCCGGTCTGGTATGAAAATAGTCTCCGTAAAGTAGCTTCGAGCTCGTCCGTCTTTAGCATGGTCACAACAGCTTCGCCGTCCAAAACTACATGTCGTAGTCTTACCTATTCTCCAAAACAAAATAATTGCACGCCTGAGGCCCATTTTTATCGGCTGGGTACCGATCCCAGCGTCGGCGACTGGGGCAGGTGTACCGAGGAACTGATAAGAATCGATCGCTGGGCATTTAGTGTATAATTTATGTGGCAGATTTACAAACAGCAGCAGCGCGATCTCTACCGACAGAGTCTACGGCAGATGCCCGCGTCACGCAGAGCATGTGGTGCGCTCTGTGTTTAATATCATGATCGTAGCGATGCCGATTTTGGTCCTCTTGGCCTAAATTTACAATGCAAACGATTGGGTGGCACGCTTGTCATCCTGGGATCCCAGCTTGGGGATTTTTTTCTCCGGTCCCCAACTTTTTTGTCTGGGATCGGAGAACGGTATTCCATATTTATTTTTTTGCACCGTTCCCCAACTTTTGTAGATGTTCGTGCACCAATCAGGGCCATTCTTATCAGCTAGGATTTTTTTCGAAAGCTAGCTGATAAGAATGGCTCTGAGAGCTGCGAATCCCCGGACCACTCGGTCCGTGCCAATCCTCGATATTGTCTGACCTCAACAAGTTAGGCGAAGGTTGCCAAAAGCTACAACTCGGTCTATAGTCAATAATCAATAATTGCAATCTTGACAATTTAAATACTGGATATTGCAATCAGCTGTGTTATCTTGCATTTATCCAGTATCGGTCATTTCACAAAGTTCGACTGGGAATTAATCCCGACTACATGGGCCTTTCGGGGGTAGCCCCAAACGGTCTTTCACTCTCACTAAAAGAGCGATGGTTAAAGGGCATGGATTGCATTTTTTATTTTTGCAATACTTAGTGTCCTGTTTGTAATAAGGCCCAAATTCAGGCTAATCTATTTATTGCGATATTTAGTAAAAATTCCATATCATAGATCTATCCCGTACTTAAGCATTGCAATGTATATTACTAAACTTGAAAACGAAAATATAAAAACAAAATCGTGCTTTGTCCAAGGAAGCTCTGAAAGTAATACGCTTTGAGCTGCACACCGCTTTCTAAGCTAACCTAACCAACAAACAGCCTTAAGACAACAGAGAAAAGTGTCTAATCCTGCTCCTAACAAAAGAAGCTCAGTGCTTTTACCTAAAAACTATCAAATTAAAAATCTAAGCACTATGAACTTCAAAGGTTAAGATATCCTGCATCAGTCGGTAAAAACCACCGAGTCGGTGGCACCGACGTAGTATCTGCTATGTACAAGCTGCGCTTTAAACTGCACGTGCCGGTTCTAGAATGTAAAAAAAATACGGATAAACAAACGGCCTTAGCCCAAGAGAGAGAAGAAAGTGAATAATCCTGTCACTAGCACTAGAGCTCAGTGCCCTTAGCTAGATACTACATCAGCTACCCGCTTGTTCCCATGTTCACTCAGTAAGTCAGTCAGCTTACTACCAGAAATTTGATCATTTGAGCTCATTTCCAGTTCTGTGTCCAATGGTTATGCACCGAAGCCAATAAGGCTAACTAAAGGGCCGATCGCGTATGCGCACTTGCTGACACCAGATTTTGTCTTAGCTTATTGCATGCATTCCATCTCTTGCCGACACTGACACTATTGTACTTCTTAGCGATTTCTACCGCGTTATTCATAGTCTCCGTTTCCATTATGAAAAACGATTAGGACCCAATCCGGACGACACAGGCTCACTCAGATATTACCATTCACGGGCTCTCAGTATTTTTAAGGTTTAAATGAAAACCTCTCTTTTCTGCTGGCACATCAACATGTGAATTTAATAATCCGCAAAAAAAACACCTCGAGTCACCTATGAAATAATTTCAGAGAACTTATTTTATATTTCCACCTCTGATACTCCGATATAGTGCACAAGCGCAAGACGTTAACTGACGTCAGAGCATAAAAGCACTAGAATTAGGTCGACTTTGACGTCATCGCATTACACCGTTCACCCTAATTAGTCGTGGCACGACTATTTACCGTGCATCCCCAAAATGCTTAAAATTGCTCATGATCAATTTTGGTGCACGACTAAATTATGTGCACGACTAATACCGGTTTATTCCAAGAAAGGTCACGAGCGACATTTTTGCACTTTCGTAATAAACGACGGCATTGGTGGAGAGGTTTAGCCGCGTCGTTCCACGCGCAATATCGCGGGTTCGAGTCCGCGCGCAGCGATAACACAGAAGGATCCCTTAGGGGTCTGCAACTGCCATGTAAGTCCTTTTGGAAAAAGTAGAAAAATATATTTATCCATTATGAATACAAACAATGTACCACTATATATCTGCAGACCTGGCAGCTTCCTTGTATCCGACGTTAAAAGCGTCAGGATACATCGCAATAATCTCTTGAAGCTCTCTACTGAGCTGCTCGACTTTCCAGACACCGTCACGAGGAAGATCCAGGCCGCACTGAGCCATGGACTTCTTTGCCCAATTTTCTCCGTTTTTGTCTTTTTCTAAGTTGACGAGGCGGATGCACTCAGCTGCCAGGTCAAGAAAGAGCTTCTTCCCAGGGTTTGCAAGCTTTCCTGATGATGAATTGCCGGTCTTCCAATCACCATTCCGAATAGCTTCCGTATTCCGTCGCTCGGCAAGGCGACGCCAGTGGCTCTTGATACGCTGAATCGGGAAGCGGTCTGCGGGCTGGACTTTGTCGGTGGCGTTAGCAGGGAAAAGCTGCACCTTCGTCCACAGTTCGTGAGCTGTGTCCTCGACGTCTGTACCGCAATGTCCACTATCGTTGTCCGTCCAAAGAATCCGTCCAGACGCGAACGGTCGACCCGGTCCCCAGCACCTTGGGTCGCGCAGCCATTGACACATTAAGCGTCCATTGATGAACGCACTCGGCGAAGTCCGGTAGCACACACCAGGCGTCGAATCGGCAAGATGTTGAATAGGGTAGCTAGAGTTCTTGTTCTTGAATATCAGCATCGGACGCAGGATGCGTGTATCGCTACCCCCTTTCAAAAGAACACACATTGTGATGCCCTCACGACCTATAACATAAGCAACACAGTTAATTCAAATCATCACTGCGTAGATCCCATATTACATACCTGACACGACGCTGCGGTATTTGACGGAGTGTGATCCAACGAAGTCCAGCGTCTTGCCATCGTCAAGGTCAATAACGAAGTGGCTCTCGTCCATGCTGTACTGCTGATCAGGGTGAAGCGTTCCTTCTTCAAACTGGCGCTTAAGCTCACCCATGTGCTTCGCTATAGATATGCCGATCTGAGCCTGTTTCTCAACGCTGACCTGCTTCTTGCCCTTGTGTCTCCTGTAGACGATGTTGTAGCGCTCCAAGAAGTCTTGAACGCGACGAGGAGTCAGAAGACTCGTAAATGGCTTGTTCTTGACACTGAAGCGAGAGTTGAAGCGTGGGTGTTCACTATCCTCAATGAGGACGACGCCCATTTCAGCGACAAGCTGGTTCGAGAGCTTGACACCAGCTCGCCGTAGTCTTTGAAACTCTGTCAGTAAGATTGGGTACAGCCACATCCAGTGCTCCGCTTATTTGCTGTCCCTACCATCCAGAGCTTTTACGACGAATTGATGTCGGATACGTTGTCTTCCACTCGCATACTTGAGCTGCTTAGGGTCCTCTAGGCTTGTAGCTGTGTCAACACGCTGCTTCCACCAGTCGCGAGCCTTGTTCATGTTCACCCTTCTATCTGAGGAGCGAAACAGCGAAGGAAAGAAGTCGATAGTTCTACCATAGAGACCTTTAGAACCTCGGAGAGCTTGATCCAGCTCCATCCAGTCGGTGCACCGTACACGATCGCAGAGAAGAACGACCTGCTGAAGCTTGCGCGGCACTTCTTCTACGATGTCTGTTTTAAAGTGAGAAAACACTTGGAGGTTGCGAATGAAAAGTACAGTAACAGAATGCATGGCTGCGGTTGTCAGCATGCCTAATCTTGGTGTATTTTAATTGTGGTGTATGACTAATTAAGGTGTATGCACAGCTTACTTTCGTATAAGTACGATGCATGACTATTTAAGTCACACGACTAATTAGGGTGAACGGTGTACCTGCTATATTTTGGGTATCAAAAACCATTTTCATAAAGTACCTTTTTAGGTTTTAGAGCATCTCATTGTTATTATGAATAATTGCTAATTGCAAATCTGACGTGTTTGAAAGATCGTATCACCACCGACTGCCCGTCAACCTTGATAATGTGGATAAAACCCACTGGATCTGCAGACGACATGCCATTGCGCTGGAGTTCCTGTAACGAAAAAGTCTTTGTTCTCGCGCCATCAACGGGGTCGAACCCTGTATGACAGCAACCTGTAGCCACGTCGACACTACCTAGTCTAGGTATTAATCGAATCATGCAACGCTTATCATGTACAAAACACGATTCCCGGGACGATCCTACCGCAAATGGTGTTCTGCACACCAAAATCGAGTCAAACATGTTTTCGCGGCAGGTCCATTTCATCCTTCTACACGAGTCGCTACGCACGAACCCTCGGAATCCGCTTACCGTACCGGTAGTAATATGGCCGAGACTGCTGCCCCTGAGACGCCTGCACCGGCCGCTGCCGTAAAGGAATTCACGATGGAAGATGTGGCTCCTCACAACACCACGGAGGACTGCTGGATGGTCATTCGTGAAGACGGAGTCCGCAAGGTATATGACGTCACTGCCTTCCTGGACGACCACCCGGGCGGCCCGGAGATTATGGTGGACGTGGCTGGTCAGGACGCCACCGACGAGTTCGAAGACATCGGCCACTCGAACGACGCACGTGCGCAACTTAAGCAGTTCGAGATCGGCAAGATCAAGGGCGATGCCAAGAAGGAGGCAACCGCTACGACCAGCGCTGGTGGCTCTAAGGTCTCGGCTAGCGGGCGACAGGATATTAGCGGTGACAACGGTCCGCTCTACGCCGTACTGGCGGCTGCGGTGGTCTTCACCGCGCTCTACTTCAAGTACCAGTAAGCGGCAGGGCGGTCGCGAAGCAAAGGACAAGAGAATTGGGTGGCGCCGTGCCGATGTCCAGCAACTCGCGGCCGGAATAAACTATCATTACATATAAGGATTTTTTTGGCTCTGCATTGCTGGGCGTTGTGGGGTTTGTATTGCTTGACAGGTAACTTAAGACTGACTGGAAGACGCTCCGGAGTCTGGAGCGTTCTTGGCAGCATACAATTTGTTCCACTGCGACTGCACGTCTCGCTTATTCTCCTTCTTAATCGCATCTGTGGGGTACAAACATGTTGGAATGTGAACGATCACAGCACCGCCAGATTTTGCTACCGGGAGCTACACACACACACGTACGGGATTGCGCGTCGACTCGCAGACTATCAGCACGTCGCTTCATTTTCTCGGTACTAGTCGAGATCTCTTGCATCGCCAGTTTGATTCCTTGCAGCTTCTTCGCGTAGAACGGCAACTTCTCCAGCACCACGGCCGCATCCTCCAGCTGCTTGTTCGACTTGATCCCAGCGTTCTGCTCCATCAGCATCTTCAGCAGTCGCTTTAATGACCAATAAGAAACGATTAGTATCCTTGCATCCACAGTACCATAACCGACATAATTGTATCCATCGCGTACCCGCTGACTCTCCTTCAACTCTGCTATCCGATGAATTGTCGAGTCCAGTGAGGGTTGCACAGACTCAACGAAGGCGTTGCTCATAAGCTCGATGCCGTTAATCGATCCGTCCACTTCCCACAGCACCGGCGCCTCTCCAGTCTTCTCCACAGCTTTCTCGGTTGTCTGTTTGGCCTCTGAGGAGTTTACGCCTTCGTTCTTGCCCTGCTCGTCACTGTCAAGCGTTTTGTCCTGCTCTTCGCTTTTCTCCTCCTTCGATATATCCACCGCTTTCAATGTTGCGTCCTCGCTATCTCCATCACTCTCTTCGTCCTCCTCGCCTTCTGTTCCTACGGATGGTGCTACTACTGTGGGGACAGCAAAGCGAGGCGCTGATGTCGACTGCGAGCCGAAGCCGTTGAACTGGAAACTCATTTCTGCACCGAGTTAAGCACCGGATTAGCGCGAAATTCCGCAGTGGAAGAGGTTTAACGTAGTAAAGACTAGTTACCTTCCTCATCCTCGTCATCCTCTTCGCTGTCTTCGCCTGCTAGCACGCGACCGCCGTTGATATCCGCCATCGTCTAGAAATTATGCAGTGAGTTGTATCATGATGTGCAACATTTTGGCTAATCATATCACATTCTGAAAACTTATTGACCAATCATTTGGTGTTGCTTCAGCAAGACACCAAAGAAATTCCAGACGTCTCCTGTTATCGCCATGTAGTGATAATCCATTCAGTGGATCGAGGCACTGCGTATTCTATAACGATCAGCGGCGTAGACGTGTCTCCGAGATGACTCGAAGCGAGTCCCGCGCACGATTCATCCACCGCTCTGCACCACGCACGAAACACATCAAGCAAATAGTCAGCAAAACTTTCAACACTTTTCTAGACGCAGAATTTGTTACCTGCTTCCTCGGCGACTTGACGCAGTGTTTGCGCCTCCTCTTCGCTCTCAATCTGCAGCCTTCGCAACTCCTCTGTCTGCTCACTACAGCAACAAAAACTTGTCAGAGCCAGCTCGTGTAATGTCTCAAATGTTGTTTGAGCTCCTTACGCCTCTGTCTTATCGAGTCCTGGTAGATCGTCGATCAACGCGTCAGTCTCCTGCACCATTTTCAATACGTCGTTGGCCAGTGTCGTGATCTGTCCACAAAGCAGTGAATCAGCCTCTAAACTGTCTTTAAACTCGTCGCCAAGCGTCCTCACCGCGTCCTTTGTTTCCTGCTTCTTGGCGTCGTCTCCAGTTGCTGCGGGCAGCAATCGCAGCGCGTTGAACATACTCAGCGCCATCTTGTCCACGCTCTCTTGCAGCAGCGACACCTTGTCCAACGTAACGACACCGACATCTGTGGCGTCCACGTCCGCCATGTTCACGTCCTCGCTCTCCCCCAACTGCATCGCCGCCAGCTCGTCCTTCACGCCGTCAGCCTCCATCATGCGGGGTTTAAGACTCAATTTATCGTATTTTACTGTAAATGCTCTTAAACCCGGTTATGGCTACATCTCTTGGAAGTTGCCTTTTTTGACGTTACCTTTGGTGACAGACACAAGCTCAATGAATCCTGTTAGCGACGAACTCCTTGTGCTATTACCAGGAATGATGCAATTTAAGCCCCCAGTGTTGCCATTCCAGCCACATTCGTTTCTTCTTGCTCACGGCAAAGACTTCAATCTCCATGTTCAAGACATCTACGGTCCTCTCGCTCTGTATACTGGCAATCCTTAGCAACTTGGTGACAGCTTGGTACGGCACGGTGACCTTCTACTCTGACGTGTACTTCGAAGGGCCGAAATACCCGTGGGGCATCTCGAAGACCCAGCGGTGCTACAACCTCGCTTGCTGGGACAACCGAGCGTCGTCTGTCAAGTGGGAAGGGCTACCTACGAAAGGAAACTTCAACGGCAAGTCGCGTATCGCCTTCTTTACCGGCAAAGATTGCACGGGTGACAGTCGGGACTGGCCTACAGATGGATACATCAACGACAAGAAGGGGAACTACCCCCAGGACTTCACGCTGGACAAGATCAACGACGCAGTCTCGTCGTTCATCATTTGGGAGTCCAGCAAGAAGGTCTCGAACGGTAAAGACACGCCGTGTCCGTGGGGAACAAGTTGATCTCTATTAAGGAGCACATTTTCTGTTTAGCTACGCATAACAGCAAAGTACAATTGACATTTCGTTCGGCTATTGCCTTATCGGTGTGCTTGGGAATATCCCAGTGACGACTGTCGATGACTTTTAGTCTCGACATTAACGGAAGAGTAGGATAATTAGCTGCACGATGACCCCCACAAGGATCGAGTGTTGGTATTCTTTCCATCCATTGCGATAACCAGAGTAAGAGCTTCACATAAGTGTCGCGAGTGGTCAAATGCGAGTGCAGCACACGCCACAAAAGGCGTCTTGGACTTGAAATTCAGTGGCTGCAGAGCGTCTGGCATGTTGAATTGGACTAAAAAACCTTCGCGAGTTGACGGTCCCAATTGCGATGCCACTGTCTCGCCCCCGTCGCTCGACAAGTGCTCAGCATCAAGTGGACGAGGCCACTACCAGTGCGTACGTGAAAAAGAGTGAGGCTGTCGACTCGGTGTTAATAAAGCTGATGCTGAAGGTTGGACTTGTTCTACTCCCAAAGTTCCGGAGTCAGAAATCGATTCCCAAAGATGAACATCAGGTATGGGGCCATTTGAGCCGGACACATGACTTCAAACAGCTCCAGCTTGCACATTCTCAATGGGAAAATCCAATCTCTTGGCACTCTAAAGTGCTTGACAACCGTCGCGTTTGGTGTTCTCGTCACTTCACTATCCTCGTCCTCCCCCACCACCGGACAGTGCATGCAACGCTGCCAGATCTCGGATGGATCCGGTCCCATAAGCTTCTCGACAACAACTCCATTGCCTACGACCTCCTCCTCATCCTCTGGGGCAGTCGCGGGCCTCACATTGTCCTTAAACAGACCTTCAAACTCCTTAAACGCAAGAACATTGGCGTAAAGACCGAACTTGGTGTCCACAAACCTCACAGGCACAGCCGTAGACGTGTCCCCAGCCTCGTACAGTGAGTTATTAAACACGGTGAGCTCATATCCATCCGGTACCTCTAGCTTCTCCTTATTCGTGGTACGTAGATACTCCAGCCCAGCCATGGTGATCCCCATATCGGCGTTGTAGTCCCACGGTACGAGCTGTCGAGCTCTGTAGACCCCCAATAGGGTGCTGCTATCGATCCAGTAGACCACGTTGGCGTTCTCTAACATAACCTTAAGAGCGTATACAAGATCTTCCAGCGCATGCAGCCGTTGATCCGCAGTCACACACATTCCTGGCTTGACGTAGCGGGTGTCACGATGCGCACTGGAGATACAGCGACGAAGCGAATTGGAGGACGGCATTCCGTCACTGAATAGTCCGCCTTCCTGGAAAGGTGCGTACAGCAAGAACAGCCCGAAGAGCAGCAGCTGCGAGGCCACAATGACCGCAAACTTGACCTCCCGTCGTAGCGAGACCATTGCGAAATGAGTCACTGAAAGTAAATCCGCTTTCTCAACTCAAATTTCTGAGTTTTACAAGTAAACTTTTGCAAGCTCAGTTTTTTTTAATGAAATTAAGCCATTACGTAAAAATGTGAAAATCGTGACTTTCTCAAAGTTAAACCTTACCGTAGATGACAAAACCCAACGTTGGTCACTGATCTTAGTTTCTGTCATGTATGGTACGTTTGTCAATCTCGAATTTTCCGCCAATCATTTGCCTTTAAGGTGATGAGTGCCCAGCAAAGTGGCGATGGTGTCGACATGGACGCCGAGTTGGCGCAACTTCTGCTCGAGCAGGAGCAGTTCTTAAACCAAAAGAAGCAGCCATCAGCTAAAGTATCTCGCCGCGAAGGTCCACCCAAAGTTTCGTCGTCTAAAACCTCGGAAAAGGCCTCCGAATCGGCCCCGGATGAGGGTCCGCAGGTTCTTAAGGGTGTCGTGGAGCGGCAGGTGAAGCCTGCGGGTCAGCAGAGCTTCGTATTCGCCCCCAACCCTTCCGGCTTCCCCGCCGTTAATTGTCGGGGTCCCGGTCAAAGCCTCTTTGGTCGCAGACGCCGCGAAGCGAAGGCGAAAGAGCAGGAACAGCAACAGGAGACACCTTTCGATCATGAGAGCAGGGACATCGATGCAGCCAACAGAGCCAAACTACAGGAGATGAGCTCTCAGGAGATCATGGAGGCACAGCAAGAGCTACTGAGGACGCTGGACCCAGAGCTAGTCGAGAAGCTAAAGAATAGGAAGAAAAAAGAGAAGAAAATGGGGAGGAACTCTGTCCAGACAGTGAACAAGGTCGCCATTGGGCAGTCGATACGAAAACGTGACGAGGAAGACGAACAGCTTCAGAAAGAGGAGATGATCAAGAGTTTGGCTGCAGTTAAGACCGAGCAAGAGCTCAAAGAACAAGCCAAGCTTCTGTCGGTCGAGGAACGGGCCAAACTCGACTGGACGCAGACCTCCAAGAAGAGCGAGAAACCTGCTACCGGTCACAGCAAGAAGATCGCTCGTCCGGTGGCCGAAGACGCGACGTTGGAACGGTTTGACTTGGACGGGAAGAGCCTCCAAAAGACGGACGCGGAGTTGCCCGTGCACTCGGGACTTTTCCACCACGGCGACGACCCAGAAGCTGCAGGTTATACAGTGCCAGAGCTGTTGCATCTCGCTCGCAGCTCTGTGGCCAGTCAGCGTGCGATGGCTCTCAACGTCGTGGCAAAGATATTGCACAACCGACAGCTACAGGAGCGCGCAGGTCTTCTTGTGACGCCTCGAGTGCTGCCTCGTGACCTGGCGATGACGCTTCGGATTGTACTGGACGATCAGAACTACACGGCGTTGAGCGCTGCTGTGTCTGCGCTACACGCGTTTGTTGTGCCTGTGGACGACGATGAAGAGTTTGTATCCGAGCTCAAGTACGGTACTGTCGTGCTTCCCCCCACAGTACACTTGCACCGTAATGACGTCACAAAGAGCAAAAGTCACTCAAACGAGGTAAACGAAGTGGTCTACATCGACACCACTGAAGCCGACGATGGAACTAGCATCAGTGACGACGAATTGGCGGCCTTGGACCCGGTGCAGGCACTTGTGAGCATGGATCTGGCCACACGACTGCGGTACATCCTCGAGAGCATCCAGCTACCGGACCAAGACGCCACCGAAAAGATGCTGGACATTTTACGTGCTGTGGCTCGTCACTCTCCACGCGCAGCTCACGACATGAGCTCGAACGCGAGGCTCCTCAAGCTACTGCAACAGCAATATATCGAGAGCGAGCAGGTGTTAACATTCCAAGAAGGCAACACCCGATCGCTCCAGCTGTCACTGAAAGCCCTGCAACTTGTGCGCGTGCTCTGTCAAGGCCAGCGCAGTGTGGCGTCTGCGCTCATTGCCAGTGGCTTGATCCAGAGCACAAAGGGCTTCTTGGCACTGAAAGAAGTCTCTTGTGGTGACGTGGAGGGGCAAGCGGCGGTGTTATTTAACCAGATGCAAGTGGAGAGTCTTCGGATCTGGCGTGTTCTGCTCGGCTATGGACTGGACTTCCACTGCTTCGCGTATCTTTTCCCCGCTCTCTCGGGCTTTATGCAGGACGGCACGGATGTCTCGACGGCACGGAAGGCGGCGCTGTTTGCTGCGTTGGAAAGCTTCTGTGGACTCGGATCTGTGCATGAGGCGCAGCACTATTTCAACCAATTGGGCTTCTTCCTGGATGCCGCCAAGGATGAGGCGGTGCGCTGCATTGCTGCGTTGCTGAAGGAGACAGAAGATGATGTTGAGACTGCGGTGCTTCTCTCCACGACGCTGAGATTCCTCTCTGCTGCTTGTGCTCATGCTGTTAAGTACACTCTGGAGTCTTCTGGCCTGGTCGAAGTCTTCAAGTTGTTGCAGTCAAGCCGAGAAGTGCTCCCTCGACTTAGTGACACCGCAACGAAACGTGATCTGCTGTTATCGATCGCCGGATTCCACCGCCAAGTCGTCGCCAACGGGCTCCTACCTGATGACATGGACGACGTGGAAGTGGAGCAGACTTTTGGGCGTCACGTGAAGACGCCTCTGCTCGTCGCTGCCACGTCCGCAGTGTCATCGTCTTCCGCCAAGCTCAGCCACTCTTTGATCCAAGCCTGCGAGTTCACTCTTGTGTTAGGAGAGCTCATTGCTGCGGGGCCGAGTGACGTCGTCACCGTCGACTTCGTGCAGCGTGTCTATCATCAAGCCTTGATCCTCGTCGAGCGTCTCAGTGGCGGCACAGAGTTCTTAACAGCTCAGCTAATCGCCGGCGTGTTGTTCCATCACCGCACACTGCAGCTCCTCGGTGTGTTCAGCGACGAAGCGGACGCCACGCGCATGAGTCGCGTGTTGATTCCTATCTATCAGGCTCTCGTGAACGCCCCTCGTGACCAGGAAGCGCACTCGCGGCAGATCTTCACGGGCGTCTCAAGTGTCAGCAAGTTCTCGTGCCACTTGTATCTCCCTCTAGAAGAACACACATACACGCCCAGTAATCTACCACTGCCCAGTTTCTGGATGCTCGCTCCGCTCTCACGTATCGAGTACAGCACTAGAGACGAGAACTCGACGGATGTGGCCTCCACACGAGCGCACAGTGACGAGATCAAGGTGATCGTGAGCGCCACGTGTCGCTTTGTGTTCGAGTTGGAGCGCCTGGCTCCTTCGCCGGCTTCGATCCCGTCTATTGCCGAGTTGAGACCGGAAGACAAACTGTTCCACCTGACGCACGTCTTCTTCGCGGGTAGCGACGTGCTGTTTGACGACCACGTGGACGCTGCGCTGCGTCAGCTGCTTCCTACGCTCGTGACGTCCATTCTGCGCTCGTCAGACTTGTACCAGGGCATTCTACGGAATCTGAAACGTGTCCAGATTCTAGAATCTGGAAATGATTTAGAACCGTCACAGAATTCGTTCTCGTCAGATGAGCAACAAGTGCTGACGTTCGTGGAGAAACTGGTGGCGGAATTCACAGCTTCGTCCTTTGGGAACTCGCACTTTGCACAGTGCGTGACATTGCTGTTGGCGGGAGATTTCCCCTTGGAGTTGCGGAAGTTCGTGTGGAAGGAGCTGCAGGCGTCTCATCTGTTGCACACTCTCACGACGTTCGAAGTGTCCAGTGTGGAGTTGCTCAAGCGATGCACTCGAGGCGTATCGGTTGACGTCAAACTACTGCAACTCATGCAACAGGCTGTGTGCAACAAGCAAGTGGCGCCTGCTCGGGGGGCTTTTGCCTACTCTGTGGCCATCCACCACGTCGTAATCTACCTGTTCGGAGAAGCAGACAGCGACGCGTTGAGCTTCGCGCGCCAACAATTCGCTCAGACACTCACGACGGAAGCGTCTCCCGTGATTTGGGGCCATCTCTTGAGCTACGACGCAGATAGCAACTTGTTGCTAAGCGAAAAATGCGGTAGAATTCTACCTGAACGTGTGGCCAAGCTCAGAACGCAAGCTGCGTTCTCGTCGGACCAGCGTCTCGCCTTTGAGGCCACTGTGACGTTGCTTGAAAGCACGAAATAGACCAACACTCTCTCTTTGTTACACTAGTTTGGGTGTAATTCGCCTCCTCTTGTTCGTCTCAGCTCGAGGTTTGACCACAGGCGTCTTGGCGTATTTGAAGTAGAGCAGAGGACGCACAGTGTTTGCGCTCGTGTTGGCCACACCTCGATGCCACACACGGTAGTCCATGACGAGTGGAGTCCCCGCCTCCACACAGGCGGCAACACTCTCGAGATCTTGATAACCTTCAAACGCGGTGCCACGAGCTCCGTTGTCATGAATGTGCGATTTTCTCTTCATCTCGGTGCCGCCAGTCTCACCGGTGATGGCCACCAGTGGCACAAACACGTTGAGGCGATCCACTAGAAATGGGAAATAAATTTGGTGAAATTTTAAACGTGTTGCTCTAACGCAAATATCTTACCAGGCTCCTGGACATGCTGGTTGCGGTGAACTCCATCCAAATGCCAGTTTTGGTGTCCATCCCCGGGTCTGGAGAGTACGCAACCTATGTATTCGAGGCGGTATTCGTCCGGCGCGAAGAGCTCCTTGAGGACTGGCTGCCACAATGTTGCCATGTACTTAAGCAGCGGCATGTCCACGGAGTGAACAGTTGCCACTGTAATAGTTGGCAAAAAACGAGTCTGGAAGCTTGTAGAGCTCAGTTGCATGTCAATCCGACCGCCTTCGCGGACGTAGAAACCAGGAAGACGCTCCGAGTTTTCACGCAGTGTCAAGTCCAGTTTCTGGTTGGCAGCTTCGGTCAGGAATTCCTCGTAGCGGTTGAGTACTTGACTGCGTAGTTGCTCCACGACGGATGATGATGCTGCATACGTTGCAACTGGCAACGCCACAAACCCATCGGAGTGGACACTTCGGGCCAGTTCTGCAACATTCATGGTCTCCGATAATTGACAAATAATCAAAGCTTACAAAGCTGCCAGTAATCGATTCGAAATGATTGTATCAGTGAAAATAATGAAAAAGTTGGGGAAAAGCGAATTATCTTTTGACGCAACTAACACGTAAAGTTTCCAGCAACTTTAACGATGCGACAGTGAGCGCACCATGCCTGCATCTTCCTCGTTTTCCTTGGACGGGTTAGAGATGAAGGAGAAGTTCGGTTCCGTGTGACGATCTTCTTCGTAGTCGCCGACGTTCTCGCTCTCTTCGCGTGGCGAAGGCAGGTACACAACCTCGCTGGAGGATTCGGTCTGCTCCGACTTGTCCGAGTCCTTCTGTCCCTCTTCCTGGTTGCTGACACAGACGACGGTACGAGTTTCCGAGACGCCAACTTCCTTCTGGTTGGCAAGGTGTGCCTTTAGATCCACACCGATGAACTTGCCCAGCGTAGCGACAAACAACCGCTTGCTGCGCTGACAAGCAGGCCACGCCGAGACGATCCGCACGCAGTAGTCGAGGAAAATCTCGAGCATTTGAGATCGTTCCTGGACGTCCTGAAGACTCGGTGGCAACAGAGTGCGACGTGGGAACTTGACCGCAGCCAGTTGCTGGTACGTTGACTCGCATTGGGCGCACTGGATGCAGCGAGGGCGAGTCAAAAGCTCCACCAGTTCTGCGCCGGCGGAAACCGACGACTCGTCCTCGAATCCAGTCAACGTGCTCTTGCGAGATGGCAGGCGGCCACGACAAGTCTTGAGGATCTCAAGTAGACGTTTGCGTAGTAGGAAGAAGCTCTGGAAACGCTGGATACAGCGTGCACGTAACTGTAGCTCTGCGACCGAAACGTCCATGGTATAGCGCACATGCTTGGACTCCGTGGGCCCACGAACCACATAGAGACCAGTGAACTGCACCATCTTGTCTTGGCCGTTTCGATAATGACTCTCGGGCATGCAACTCCCCAACACGGCGGCCGACGCGCTAATCTCGCGTGCTCGAATGTCTGCGACGATTTTCTGTCCTTGCTTCAGTTGCGTGTTCGTCGAGTCTGGCTCCCGCTCGCTTGGATTCGAGCTGAGTGCAACCGTTGTGGCGGTGCTCAGCGGTTGGATGGTGTCCACAACGTCGGGCATGAGGTTATGTAAGTGCTTTACTGTGGTCTGTGGATGTTAAGGAAGTGACGGCGAGTGCAGATTGAGACTGCGGGACTACGAAGCAGATTTACAATAAGTTTCGTCGTGGCTGCAATTGCAATTGTGGTGTGTGGTGCCGCTCGGCAGAGGCAGGACGTCTCTCTTGCCTTTCCACCAAGTACCGGTACGCACCACGCGTTTTTCCTTTTTATTGTCCAGCTGGGCGTTGCAAGTGACAAGCGCTGCGAATCGCTGTGCGATGACCAGGTCTCGATACAAATGTATTATGTGCACGGCATAGAGCCGTTAAAAGGCATGCATGTATTTGTATTTTCGCCGGTTGCTGGACCCAAGTCTACTAAGCACTCTAGGAGTTATCGCCAGGCAGGTGTAGAGGCTTCGTGGACTTCTACGCGACAGCAGGCCAGTTGTCGTTTCTTTATTCTTACTGACGGAGCCGAGAATTCCATTGCAACCCTCAATGAATCGCTCGTGTGTGTTGCGTGAAAGTTGGTGCCAAAGGCTTGGCTGTTGCATACACGTACATCGTCATGACGAAATAACTTCGCGCAAAAATGTAGCCATGTTGCAAGTGTATGTTGCAGTTTGAAACGTTGACACTGCAGCGTCGCCATCTGAACTTTTGCCGAGCTACCAACTAAGGACAGCGTCATCTTTTGCCGCAGCCTACAGTTACACCAACAATCTGAAAGGCAAAACGCAAAGTTATATGCAAGTGGCTAGCTACCCCCATCTCGTCCTGCTCATATGATACACGCGCCACCAAGAGCAAGGTCGCGACGCGCTCCTCAACACGTCGCAAGCTTCTCTTTCTCTCCTTGTCCTCCCTCCATTCACGGCAGTTGCTGCACCGCCAACCAGCCTGCAGTCCGTCGAAGAGACTCGGCCAGAGCGTTTGTCATCGATAGTCATTCTGACCAAAGTGTTCCAGTTTCAAGGCAAGAGCCCAATTTGCCAGGCTGCAAGAAATTCGCTGCAGTATCTGGTGTTTTCCCTTTCAGACGCCCAAAAAGTCCATGGCAGAAGACAGTGCTTGTCGCGTACGAACTGTCGCTGGTTTGGCGTCCTTGGGGTTCACAGTGGGGTCCAGGAAGCCATTGGCTGCGTTCTGCTGAGCGCGCTGGGAGTCTGACTGCAGACTACGCACAATGACGGCTTCATGTTTGCGTTTCTCGTTCTCTTCGCGGCGGACTTGCTTTTCAATGTCATATTTCTTCTGGTGCATACGGTACAGCTCCTTCTCAGCGCGACGGAGCCGCTCTTCGGCCATGGAGCGACGTCGCGTCTCCTCGTCGAAACGCGCTTCCCAAGACTTGAGTTGTTCTTGCAGTTCTGCCTTCTCTTGTTGCCATCGTCTGTCATAATGATGTCAAGTTTGTGTGAGTTTGATTTGTTATTTCTCCACTTTTTGACCTAAAAGCGACAGGGCGGCAAGATTTGGTTTTACTTTTCATCCTCCGCCTTTTGTGCGTCGAGTGTGATGCGATCAAGTGCCTCCTGTTCGAGACGACGCTCCAGATCCTCGTTCACGTACTCGAGGTCGTTCTGGCGCCGCGCTTGCGCCTCCACGAAGCGCTTGGCGTCCGCCAGTTCGTTCTGCAGTCTCTGCACCAATTGGCTGTCGTTGCGGTGCTCGCGCTCAAAGAGCGGCACGCTGTCCATGTCTGTGCGCTGGCCAAACGAATTCCCCCAGTTGCCAGCGCCTGGGGCCTGTGTGCCTAACATTCCGCTCCTCGTACCAATTTGCCGACTGGAATAAGTGGAACTGAAGGAAGGAGGGGGTCTGTTCGAGTGGGAAAGTTTCAGGATGCGGTTGACACATTGTAAGCCTAGCCCGCGTCACCCATAGTGAGATTAAGTATGGCAGTTGTTTGGTATGGTTGCAAATTCGCATTGAGGCACCTGCATTTCCACTTTTGGCGTTTCGAGCCACATGGCCAAATCCAGCTAGAGTCTTGTCTGGATGTCTTTTTCTCTTTCGCGAGAAATGGCCGGTTGCGAAAATAATTTTTGTGTGCTCTCTTATTCCTCGAACTGAAATGGCATCGTTCTGAGTCTCGAAGTGATAACGAAGGCGTCATCGGCATTGTATTGGTCCTTGGAAGGCAACTTTTCTTCAATTTTAAAAATTTACATGTACCAGGTAAATAATTCCTCAGCATCGCAAATCACCTCGAAAGCTTCTCTGCGACGCTTTTGATCATTAAGTTGATGGGGGCAAGGTGCAACTTGCGCAAGAACGTTCCGACATGCTTGAGCCCTGATATACGGGGAAACTTCAAGCACTTCAACAGCAACTTGCAAAAACTTCTTAAATATTATTAGTAAAAGCTAAATATCCTGGAATTTGCTTCCAGCAAATAATCAGCTTTTGACCTTATTGCTGCTGCTGAGCTGTTACCAACAGGTCGATTTTGCCATCGTTACTTTACAGCCGGTTTTACGTATCGGAAATGCAGCCAAACATCGCGTCAGCTGAAACCATGCCCTACACAACACAGAAACAACGTCAGACAAGGGTGGTTCTACCAAAGGGATAATATGGATACCACCGCGCGTAGGCAGACGTACCATCGGCGCATACCGCACACCGTCGAAGGTGCGACCATGAGTTCGCACGGCTGTCATCAACGCCACGCTCTCGTCTTGCTGTTGCGCAGCTTGGTCACCCGCGCACAGCTTCTGTATCTTCTGGTAGAGTCGACGCAATAGCGCTGCACCAACGCACACGGCAACGATCAAGTCTTTCCAGAAACCTTCGCACTCGTACGTGAACCACGAGCAGTCGACGCAGGACGAAGCACCAGACGGAGCGTCAGAGCCGAGTGGACACGGTTTGCACTTGTCCAGTCCTTTTTCTGACGAAAAGGTGCGTCTTGGACACGGATCACATTGCAACGCGCCACTCGAACGCGAATACGACCCGATGACGCACGGCAGACACACTCGTTCATTGTCAATGACCGAGAAGAACGTTCCTGGAGGACACGCCACCGCTCGAGTTGAGGTGAAGGGAGGTTCGACCATCGACACGTTCACCATACTGAAGGACAACGCTCCGTCGAACAGATTCGCACGACCAAACTGACGGACCAGAGCGTCTCGGAAAGAGCTTGAGTGTATCAGATCTGCAAGGTGGTCGTCGTCACTCTCTTGATTTCCTCTGCCAGCGCTTGATCCCTCGAGTTCATCTAGCAAGTCGTCCAGTACACTTTGAGCCGCTTTGGCTGCTTGATGGACGGCATCGCCAACTTCCTTTGCGCGATTGTTACCTGCCTGCGCAGTGGTCGACACTGGACTAATCGTCTCGACAGCAACAACGATCTGCGTCATTTGAGCAGAACTGGACAGTGGTCGCACTTGCAGCACGTGCAATGGACGCCTCGAACCCAAGAAGCTAGTCAGCGTATCGGTCCACGCTTGAATCAGTACATCGAATGGCGATTCTCGATCACTTGCGGTATCCACGAGATCAACACCCGTCAAGTCCAAAGCCAAGCGAGGCCACTCCACGTGATCGTAGACCTCTCCAGGTCTGGCCAAATTGCATTCAGTCCCACCAGGTAGAAAACGGAGAGAGGGCGGCAGACATCGCGTGCATTCTACCGACCCATTCCTAGCGGCAACGTGGTTCGGTTCACACAGTTCTGCTCGAATCGCACCTTCCGACTGGACGAACGACCCAGGTAGAGCCATCTCACAATGTGAAGAGCCCAAGCTGGATGCGAAGCTGCCTTTCGCACAAGATGAACACACGCGAGAGCCAACATGTGCAGTAAACGTCCCTGGTGGACAAGGCTGACAAGCCCTCCACTTGCCATCGTTAAACGTCCCTGGCGCACACTGGGCTGTTGTCATCGTAGCTTGGTATCCCCACCCGGGAGCTGCAACGTCAAGACACTGATCACTGCCAAATTCTTCTGCCACAGTTCCGTTCTCGCACTCGCTGCATTCAGTCTGGGCCGCTGCTGCTGTAAATGTACCTGGGCTACAAAGTGTACATGTCTTGGTGTTGACGTCGTAGAAACTCCCTCGAGCGCATGGAGAACACTTCACGTGCCCCACTCGAGGCGCGATATCCCCAAGTGGACACGATTTGCACTCCGCCGACCCCGCCACGTCTTGATACGTGTCTTTCGGACACACCACACACTCTGCCTCGCCCTTAACGTCCACATACGTCCCCACTGGACAGGGAGAACACTCTGATGCTCCCTTTGAGCTGGAAATGGCTCCAACAGCACATGCAGTACAGCTTGTAGAGCCCCGAGCCGCTGCAAACTCTCCTGGATGGCACGGATCACACGATGTCGCTCCAATACTGGCCGAGAATGTCCCCGGAGCGCAAGGCGTGCATGAGCGTGAAGCACTCTCGTTCGCAAACGTCCCTGGAAGACAAAACCTGCAGCTGTCAGCTCTCCCGTTTGATGTCTCCGGGGTTGATCCAGGAGGACAGGAGCGACACTTTTGACCTGTGCTGGAGTTTGCGTAGGAGCGTTCGGGACATGGGACGCATAGCTCGATAGACTCACTTGCTAGCACCATATGCTTCCAGTCACCACGTGCGTCAGAGTTCTCGAGACTTGAGGTGTTCACGGTAGCACCAGCCAATTTGACAGTGTACCCATCGCCACAGACGCAAGTGAGGTTGCTTGACACCAACGCAGCAGGCATTGGGCACAGCAATTGATTGCCGTCGAAGTCAGCAGGCTTCGCTAGCTCAAGTCTGGACAAATGTGAGGTCAGCACGACGGCAACCAGATCAGTGGGGGGGTCAATGTGTCTCTTACAATGACAGCGGAAGCTCCGGAACGAGCCCACCAAGGAAATTGTTGTGGATGTTGCTTGAGTGACAAGACGAGAAATCAGCAAGGCAACCAACCCACAGCATGGAGACGACTGTAGTGTGAGCTTACAAGCGTTGCAGCGCGGACTGGTTCGATATCCTCGGTAGATCTCCCGTGAGCATATTGTTGGACATGTCACTGTCGGTATAACCAGAAGAACAACGTAAGAATAACTAAATGCGTCAAGAGAAGGACATAACAAAGCATACACAAAAGCGAGGGACGAGTTCTCGTCGGGGTCGTGTGGGTCTTCACGTCCCCATAGCGAGAGCTGCGGTGGGATTACGCCCGTCAGGAAATTCGACGACATGTCACTAAACACCGATCGTCGTAAACGTCGTTAGACAAGGATGACGCCTTCGATTGCGTACACCGACAGCGTACAGGGACTCGAGGAAGTGGAATGCTGGCAGCTCTGGGAGAACTCCGTGAAATGCGTTGTGGCTGATGTTGCTAGCAAACGTCAATGGGTGAACGAGATAGGTGACGGCGACCACAACTGCAACGCAGACGTACATGCTTCGCAAGAATCTGCTGGCAAACACGCTCCTGGGTAGTTGCAGGTCAATGCTGTTGTTGGAGATATCCCTGTGGAATACCGGTAAGATTAGTACAAACAACAAGCCAGACAGCAACAGAAGAGCGTAGGTAGACGAACAAGTGCTGGAGTCGACGAAATGCGTCGAAAAAGCTGAGACTGGAAGCTGTCAGATTGTTGCTCGATAGATTGCTACGTCGCAACACAGAATCGTTCTCGTTAGTTGCTGAAGGTCAGTCCATTTCTTTCACAAAGCCGACGCACATCTGCTCGAGGGCATCATTGCCGGCTATCGACGTCGGAATATCTCCCGTCAGCTGGTTCTTCGCGAGGTTTAGTATTCTCAGCGTCGTCATGTCTTTGAGCCAGTCGGGAACGTCTCCGAAGAGCTGGTTACTCGACAGATCACTTGCATCAACGCCACCAGAGAAACAGAACTTGGGTTAGCCCCGTTGCTTCACGACTCAAGAGATGCAACTCACAGCTGCTCGAGTGACACCATAATGCTCAAGTCCAGTTTGGCTATTTCGCAATGCAACGACTCGCCTGGCAGATAACTGATGCAGCCGTGTTACTCTCGTAGCCAAACAAGTTTACAGACTTGGCGCTTACATGTGCGTCACTGTGGTCGGCTCAGTGAACGCGTCGCACCGAAGTCCTTTCCATGGCCACAAGAACTCGGCATCATCATCTGCAGAGCTTCTGTTCGGACGAAGTACACGGCCTGTGCATGGGTGGGTTGTCACGCCTCGTGGACACAAACCTTGACTTTCGTTCACCTCATGATAAAGGTACGAGTCTCCACCGTCGCCGATGCACCACGTCCGCAAAGCAGCTGATTCCTTCGTGCGGCAGTCACGGTACATTTTCATCAACGCGTCCAATTCCACTGACGCCAGTGGATACGTCCGATCAACTACTTTAACAGCAGCTCCACCCTCCTCCGTGTCTTTCGCTGCTTGCTCTGCTAGTTCCGTCAAGTTGATGAAAGGAGCCAGCATGTCCATGATGTCAACGCCTTCGCACCAACGAGTACGCACAGACAACACAAGCAACAGCGTCAAACACGCAGTCCTCGTAATCCAAGTCATGGTCCTGCTGTTTTGGCAATGAACGTTGCTCCAAGTGTCCTGAAAACAAACAAAATAAGAAGAAAGGCGGGACGGGGACAAGCCTCCACCCGCGTAAGTTGTAAACGCACGTTTGTTGCATTACCTTGCGTTTCTGCTGTGACTTTTGTGTTGGTCGTCTCGCAGACAGGTTGGGGTGGTAAAGGTACATGAGGGTGTCTCCGTAACATTGTAGCAGACAAGATGACAAGTTGCTCTATAGCTGCTTGCAGTTCTTCTGTTCTCCTGGGGAGGAGCTTCCTTGCAAAGTGGGCGGCACCTTCAATGCCTAGGAGTGTTGCATCGGGCTAATTGGTTCTGTCAGTGGTCTGGTGTCACGTTTTAGCTGGAAAGGTTTGTCCTCGGGAACGGGACGCGCGTGGAAAATCATTTCTTTCCGACGCATGCGCTTGATTTCTTCTTCTTTCAGCTGCTGCTCTTGCTGCTCTCGTTGCTGGCGAAACGCTTCCTCTCGTTCACGACGTTCTTTCTCTGCCTCTTCGAAAGCAGCACGTTCTGCCGCTCGACTTTTCGTTGCCAGCATGGGGGACTCGGTCTGAGTAAGAGGCCTCGTGCTGGATACAGGTTGGACACTGTCGGACTCGAACAGTGGCATGGGCTGCGCTCGAAACGTTACTGACGATTTCAGTCGCTCTTCTTCCTCTCGACGTTTCTGTTCCAAACGCTCACGGGCGTGCTCGAGGTATCGCTCGCCAGACAACTCGAATGGCTTCACCTTGGTGAGAGGCTTGGTGGAGCCCTCAAACTTGGCAGGTGTGGAGGCTACGCGCATGGGATTCGCTCTGAACTGGTGCTGCTTGTCCTTTTCTTTTTCCTCAGCTTCGATCTTGCGACGGAAGTTCTCCTGGAACTCTCGATGGCGCTGGATGCTTTTAAGAGGTGGGGTTTCAGGGACCACAGGACGTCGGATGGGTGGCGGTATAGCTCTTTGGGTACCGCTGGTTTGGCCTGCTTGACGAGCCTTCAGTCGCTGTTCACGCTCCTTACGGTGCCGTTCCAGATTAGCAGACACAGATGCAGCACGCTCCGAGGCACTTGGACGGGTTACTGACCGAGCACTTGTCGACGCTTTTGGCTGAGTCAACCGAGCTTTAGTGTCCGATTTGGCTGGCGAGTTCTGAGGACGCGATTTCGGTGCGAGAATATTTCTGTTCAACGGTCTCGCGTGAAACTTTTTCGCCAGCTCCTCCGCATCATGGTCGACAACCTCCACCGGTCGGCGATGCGTTGCAGCTCGTCGGCTTGTCTGGAGTTGTGGAGTCATGGGCTGGTAACCAAGAAATACATCGTTTGTTACAGAGCTGAAACAGAAGAAAACTCGTTAAAAAGCTGCTTTACCTGCGTGAGACCACCAGATTTGGAGCGAGTATAGATCGGAACGGCGTGTTTCTCGTGTTCACGTGACACTGGCGCTGGTGGTGGACGCTGTGCCGCTCGAGTTGCTGTAAGGAGCTGCGGGGAATGCGGTGTCTGAAAGTAACAACGCAGTCGAGCACCACAAAGTGAGCGTTAGTTCATTGAACACCACCCCATCGACTGCTCAACAAGCTCTTACCGTTACAGCATGTCGAGTCTCTCGATGTGGTGGCAATGGCAGCGAAAAATCACGAGTAAGCAGCTTCTCGGCAGCAATTGGCGGACTGGGCTTGTCTTGTCCGGACTCGCTCCCCTCGCCCCCGCTGTGGGCGCGTCGAATACGATTCTCCACCGCGAAATGCGGAGTCTGCGGGACCGTCAGCTGCTTCGTCGATCGCTGATGCACGTTGGTCGGAGGTCGCTGCACTTTTGTCTTCTCGTGGAACTCTCGAATCTTGAGTTTCTCCAGCTGCAAGTACAGTCTCTCTTCCTGAATCTTCAGCAGCTCTCGACTCGTGCTGCTCATCCGAGACACGTCGTTCGGGTTCGAAGGTCGCGGCTTGGTGTGCAGCTTCGGACTTCTGGGTCGAGTCACGCGGTGAGGCTTCTCCTCTACTGGGATGTCCTCCATGTAGCTCTGCTCCCTCATCCTCTGCTCCGCCTGCAGTCGTCTTAGATACGACTGTGTTGGCTGCAACAGCTTGGACGAGACGCCCGCGTCTCTGGCCCTGGTCTTCGAGCTGCATGTGGAATTATCCTCTCGACCTGCTCGTAAAGCCGCAGATGACGAAGATGTCTGCGAACTGTGAGGAGAAAAGTGTCCTCCGTGCGTGGAGCTGTGTGTAGAAGTGTCCAGCTCATGGAGCAGGTACGAGGACGTGGCTGAAGACTGAGAGGACGACGCGTAGTGTCGGAAAACCTCCTCGAAGCTCTCCTCTCTGTCGTCCAGTAAGTTGCTCTTGTTCAGTACTGTCTCGACATCTTCCTCTTCCGGTCCTGCCATGGTCGTGTCCAGCATTGCCTTCTCCTCCATCTCCTCGTCATTATCCTCCTCTAATTTGTGATTATTATTATCTGCATCTTCGTAGCTTTTACTTAGAGTTCTCGTAACAGGAGCTGGAGGCTCTGTCGACGCGCTGTTCTTCTCGGACGTGAAGGGCGAGCTCTTGAGCGTGGTGGCAGATGGCGCGGGCGACGAGAAATACCCGTCCGCATTGTTGACGTAGCGTCGCTCCAGTGACGGATTCTTCAAGTCGTAATAGGATGGGGCGTTAAAGTGGAAGTCCTCGTCGTCGTCCTCGTCTTCAGGGGCGTCAGTCTCGGGCTCCACGCTCTGCGGTACGCGCACGTTGTTGTCCGCGTGCTCCTCGGGCTCCAGCGCCTCCATCGTCGTGTCAAGCAGCGTCGCCATCAGCGCGGACAGTGCGGAATGCGGTCTAAACCTAAACAATAATTGCCTAATCAATTTAAAAATTCATATATATTATTTTTTATCTCGATTCTATTAACAATTTATGATAGCAAACATTGCTCATAGCTATAATTATAAAGAGGGATCACATTGATGTAATTTTTAAAAGCAGATTTTGTCAAATATATGTACCTCTACATTATACTTCTGCATTAAAGGGTATGCTGTTACACAGGTCGATATCCCACTGCGATGGTTTTCAAGGCAGTTGGCGATGGTCCTCATTCCGACGCTGCGTCCGCGTGCCGTTCGCTTCATTCGTGCGGCATCCAGCAAGGCCCTGGTGCGTTCTTTGACAGAACCCTCCCTCTGTACTCTTATACTCACTACTTGCATCGCATCACCAGCACACCGTGCGTCGCCAAGGAGAACCTGGCACTCTCGATTGTCGATACTACTTCTTCGACAAGCTCGGTCGCAAACAGTCTCCGTGGCATCATGTCTCTCTGTACGCACCTTCATCGCTGGAACATCCTCAGGAAGCCGATAACTCTGCCATTTTCCATTTTGTAAATGAAATTCCCAAGGGTTCGCGAGAGAAGATGGAGATCGCGGGTGAGGAGGAGTTTAACCCCATCAAGCAGGACGAACGCAAGGGTGCCCCTCGTTTGTACCAAAGCGCGTCTCTGGTCAACTATGGATGTCTACCGCAGACCTGGGAGGACCCCAACCACGTGGATCCGGCTACTAAACATGGAGGGGATAACGATCCCATCGACGTATGTGAGATCGGCAGCCGCGTCGCGAGTATTGGAGAGATTTACCCTGTCAAAGTGCTCGGGGTACTAGGTATGATTGATGGCGGGGAAACGGATTGGAAGGTGATCGCAATCAATGTGAACGACCCTCTGGCTGCTGATATCAACGACCTTAGGGACCTGCGCAACACGCCGCTGCACGACGTGGTGTCTCAAGTGCACCACTGGTTCCGGGACTACAAGATCCCGGACGGCAAGCCACCTAGTGACTTTGCCTTCAACGGAGAGGCGCAACCGAGAGACTTTGCAGTCGAGGTGATCCAACAGACCCACGAGAGCTGGAAGCAGCTGGTTGGGGACGAGCTGGCCTTCAAAACGAAGCTCTGGACCCGCACCCAAATTTAACTCCCCCGAGTAGCTGGGGGGGGGGGGTAATCAACAGTTTTCATAAGAGTCGTAGCAAGTGTCGAGCTTGCCTTCATTTCATGCAAATGAAGCCAAGATTCCCGTTCTGTCTTTTCTTCTTTTTTGCTTAAATTTTAGAGAATCGAGTCACTTGTTACAAGACAGCATTACCATGACTTGGATTACGAGAACTGCGTTTTTGACGCTGCTTGTGTTGGCTGTGCGTGCTTGCTGATGCGAAGGCGATACCATCATGGACATGCTGGCTCCTTTCATCAGCTTGACGGAACTAGCAGAGCAAGCAGCGAAAGACACGGAGGAGTGTGGAGCTGCTGTTAAAGTAGTTGATCGGACGTATCCACTGGCGTCAGTGGAATTGGACGCGTTGATGAAAATGTACCGTGACTGCCGCACGAAGGAATCAGCTGCTTTGCGGACGTGGTGCATCGGCGACGGTGGAGACTCGTACCTTTATCATGAGGTGAACGAAAGTCAAGTCTTGTGTCCACGAGGCGGGACTACCCACCCATGCACAGGTCGTGTACTTCGTCCGAACAGAAGCTCTGCAGATGATGATGCCGAGTTCTTGTGGCCATGGAAAGGACTTCGGTGCGACGCGTTCACTGAGCCGACCACAGTGACGCACATGTAAGCGCCAAGTCTGTAAACTTGTTTGGCTACGAGAGTAACACGGCTGCATCAGTTATCTGCCAGGCGAGTCGTTGCATTGCGAAATAGCCAAACTGGACTTGAGCATTATGGTGTCACTCGAGCAGCTGTGAGTTGCATCTCTTGAGTTGTGAAGCAACGGGGCTAACCCAAGTTATGTTTCTCTGGTGGCGCTGATGCAAGTGATCTGTCGAGTAACCAGCTTTTCGGAGACGTTCCCGACTGGCTCGGAGATATGACGACGCTGAGACTGCTAAACCTCGCGAAGAACCAGCTGACGGGGGATATCCCGACGTCGATAGCCGGCAATGATGCCCTCGAGCAGATGTGCGTCGGCTTTGTGAAAGGAAGGGACTGACCTTCGGCAACTAACGAGAACGATTCTGTGTTGCGACGTAGCAATCTATCGAGCAACAATCTGACAGCTTCCAGTCTCAGCTTTTTCGACGCATTTCGTCGGCTCCAGCACTTGTTCGTAGACCTGCTCTATCTACGCTCTTCTGTTGCTGTCTGGCTTGTTGTTTGTACAAATCTTACCGGTATTCCACAGGGATATCTCCAACAACAGCATTGACCTGCAGCTACCCAGGAGCGTGTTTGCCAGCAGATTCTTGCGAAGCATGTACGTCTGCGTTGCAGTTGTGGTCGCCGTCTCCTATCTCGTTCACCCATTGACGTTTGCTAGCAACATCAGCCACAACGCATTTCACGGAGTTCTCCCAGAGCTGCCAGTATTCCACTTCCTCGAGTCCCTGTACGCTGTCGGTGTACGCAATCGAAGGCGTCATCCTTGTCTAACGACGTTTACGACGATCGGTGTATAGTGACATGTCGTCGAATTTCCTGACGGGCGGAATTCCACCGCAGCTCTCGCTATGGGGACGTGAAGACCCACACGACCCCGACGAGAACTCGTCCCTCGCTTTTGTGTATGCTTTGCTATGTCCTTCTCTTGACGCATTTAGTTATTCTTACGTTGTTCTTCTGGTTATACCGACAGTGACATGTCCAACAATATGCTCACGGGAGATCTACCGAGGATATCGAACCAGTCCGCGCTGCAACGCTTGTAAGCTCACACTACAGTCGTCTCCATGCTGTGGGTTGGTTGCCTTGCTGATTTCTCGTCTTGTCACTCTAGCAACATCCACAACAATTTCCTTGGTGGGCTCGTTCCGGAGCTTCCGCTGTCATTGTAAGAGACACATTGACCCCCCCACTGATCTGGTTGCCGTCGTGCTGACCTCACATTTGTCCAGACTTGAGCTAGCGAAGCCTGCTGACTTCGACGGCAATCAATTGCTGTGCCCAATGCCTGCTGCGTTGGTGTCAAGCAACCTCACTTGCGTCTGTGGCGATGGGTACACTGTCAAAGTGGCTAAAGCTACCGTGAACACCTCAAGTCTCGAGAACTCTGACGCACGTGGTGACTGGAAGCATATGGTGATAGCAAGTGAGTCTATCGAGCTATGCGTCCCATGTCCCGAAGGCTCCTACGCAAACTCCAGCACTGGTCAAAAGTGTCGCTCCTGTCCTCCTGGATCCACCCCGGAGACATCAAACGGGAGAGCTGACAGCTGCAGATTTTGTCTTTCAGGGACGTTTGCAAACCAGAGTGCTTCACGCTCATGCACGCCTTGCGCTCCGGGGACATTCTCGGCCAGTATTGGAGCGACATCGTGTGATCCGTGCCATCCAGGAGAGTTTGCAGCGGCTCGGGGCTCTACAAGTTGTACTGCATGTGCTGTTGGAGCCATTTCCAGCTCAAAGGGAGCGTCAGAGTGTACTCCCTGTCCAGTGGGGACGTATGTGGACGTTAAAGGCGAGGCAGAGTGTGTGGTGTGTCCGAAAGACGCGTATCAAGACGTGGCGGGGTCGGCGGAGTGCAAATCGTGTCCACTTGGGGATATTGCGCCTCGAGTGGGGCACGTGAAGTGTTCTCCATGCGCTCGAGGGAGTTTCTACGACGTCAACACCAAGACATGTACACTTTGTAGCCCAGGTGCATTTACAGCAGCAGCGGCCCAGACTGAATGCAGCGAGTGCGAGAACGGAACTGTGGCAGAAGAATTTGGCAGTGATCAGTGTCTTGACGTTGCAGCTCCCGGGTGGGGATACCAAGCTACGATGACAACAGCCCAGTGTGCGCCAGGGACGTTTAACGATGGCAAGTGGAGGGCTTGTCAGCCTTGTCCACCAGGGACGTTTACTGCACATGTTGGCTCTCGCGTGTGTTCATCTTGTGCGAAAGGCAGCTTCGCATCCAGCTTGGGCTCTTCACATTGTGAGATGGCTCTACCTGGGTCGTTCGTCCAGTCGGAAGGTGCGATTCGAGCAGAACTGTGTGAACCGAACCACGTTGCCGCTAGGAATGGGTCGGTAGAATGCACGCGATGTCTGCCGCCCTCTCTCCGTTTTCTACCTGGTGGGACTGAATGCAATTTGGCCAGACCTGGAGAGGTCTACGATCACGTGGAGTGGCCTCGCTTGGCTTTGGACTTGACGGGTGTTGATCTCGTGGATACCGCAAGTGATCGAGAATCGCCATTCGATGTACTGATTCAAGCGTGGACCGATACGCTGACTAGCTTCTTGGGTTCGAGGCGTCCATTGCACGTGCTGCAAGTGCGACCACTGTCCAGTTCTGCTCAAATGACGCAGATCGTTGTTGCTGTCGAGACGATTAGTCCAGTGTCGACCACTGCGCAGGCAGGTAACAATCGCGCAAAGGAAGTTGGCGATGCCGTCCATCAAGCAGCCAAAGCGGCTCAAAGTGCACTGGACGACTTGCTAGATGAACTCGAGGGATCAAGCGCTGGCAGAGGAAATCAAGAGAGTGACGACGACCACCTTGCAGATCTGATACACTCAAGCTCTTTCCGAGACGCTCTGGTCCGTCAGTTTGGTCGTGCGAATCTGTTCGACGGAGCGTTGTCCTTCAGTATGGTGAACGTGTCGATGGTCGAACCTCCCTTCACCTCAACTCGAGCGGTGGCGTGTCCTCCAGGAACGTTCTTCTCGGTCATTGACAATGAACGAGTGTGTCTGCCGTGCGTCATCGGGTCGTATTCGCGTCCGAGTGGCGCGTTGCAATGTGATCCGTGTCCAAGACGCACCTTTTCGTCAGAAAAAGGACTGGACAAGTGCAAACCGTGTCCACTCGGTTCTGACGCTCCACCTGGCGCTTCGTCCTGCGTCGAGTGCTCGTGGTTCACGTACGAGTGCGAAGGTTTCTGGCAAGACGTGATCGTTGCCGTGTGCGTTGGTGCAGCGCTATTGCGTCGACTCTACCAGAAGATACAGAAGCTGTGCGCGGGTGACCAAGCTGCGCAACAGCAAGACGAGAGCGTGGCGTTGATGACAGCCGTGCGAACTCATGGTCGCACCTTCGACGGTGTGCGGTATGCGCCGATGGTACGTCTGCCTACGCGCGATGGTATCCATATTATCCCTTTGGTAGAACCACCCTTGTCTGACGTTGTTTCTGTGTTGTGTAGGGCATGGTTTCAGCTGATGCGATGTTTGGCGGCTTTTCCGATACGGACAACCGATGCACCTAGTTGACAGTAGGGCTACTGTATCAGCAATACTTCATAACAGGCAGTGTCGATGTTGCTGTTTCTTTTTTTTCTTCCGTAGCTTGCGCAAAAATTATTAAGTGGAAGTCGTTAAGTCAAGGTGGGTCCGAGTCCAAGAGATTTACAGTTATTAATAACAAAGATGCAGAACCTACTACGCCCGACTGCTCGTGTACAGGCCAAATCAGTTCTCCGTTGATGTTTCTCAACAGTTAGGGTACTTTCCGAAATCTCTCGGGCACTAAAGCACGAAAAAAGTGCCATAGGAAGTCGTTCTTCGCGGTCTTTAGCTTTGTCTTCAGTTTGGTGACGGTGCCAGTGTTTACTGGAACAGCGGCCGCTCGTTCTTCTTTGCCGTCCGATACAGAGTCCTCTTCGAGTGAAGATCGGTTGATTTCTGAGTTGCAAAACCACGTATTTGTCACGGCCGCTCTTGATATACACTCCGTCAAGTGTGTCTTTGGAGCTGGGTGACGTGATAGTGAGCTTTTCTTTGGATAAGGAGTCGGCGGTGACAATCGAGAGGAGAGCGGCCATGGTGGCGAACACGATAAACCCCACGCGCATGGCGATTCTGAGATCGAAGTCAGGAAACTATTACTCAGTAAATTGGAAAAACTGAAACTGATTCAAAAGAGGCGGAACAATGGTTGCTTGAGAGAGAGAGAGAGAGAGCTATCTTACGTGTACATAGAGGCCAAACACTTTTTTAAACATACTGGTATCGCCATTCCACTTTACAATGACGCAACAATGTTGTCAACATCGAAAGTAACGTAACAGCAAAGTTTGCTGAAGTAGTGTCCAGGCATTCAGCCTGACCGTCGAATGTAGACAGCTGTATCGCATTGTAGTAGCACACAAAACGAAGCTCAGAGGAGCGAAAAAAATTACTTGAGCCCAATTACATGTAGTATGGCATTCCCGCTAAATAATTCGCATTCCAATGATTATTTTGGCTTCGAGTTTAGCTCTTTACAAACAAAGTTTAATTCAAACACAGGCAGTACCGTACCCTAAACATTGTGGAATTTTCCAATAAAGTAATTTAAATTTGAGGTCTCGCAAATTGTAATGATTATAGCGCTTTGTAATCTAGTTTATATTTTTACATGTATTTTCCGATCCGTGGATGATAATTTGTAGCCGGCTCCCGATCAGTCGGACAGTTTAATCAAACCGATGAAAATAATTGTTGTCACTGATGAATGCAATTTAACTTGCGCTTATAAGAAAAAATATGCAAGTCTTAATAAAGGGAATAGTACGGTAAGGTCACTACTAAATCTCAAAGCGAACATTGATCAGCTTGGGGGGGGGGGAAGGATATGAGCGACAAGTTTGTACAGCATCATAAGTGTATTGACATTTCAGACAGCCAATTCGATACCTCGACGCTAACCTTTCTGAACAGTTTATCTGGAGTATTCAGTTAAAGCTGTAGCCGCCACTGCGTGCATCAATTCCCAACAGATATGTAGCGCTAACCCGAGAGCTCCATAGCATCAAGAATCTCACATCCTGCGAAAATAGCTGCGGCACTGTCCTGAATAGTGTGCTCACTGCCGTTGATTGTTAAGACGCAGTCTAGCGCGTTAGCTTCGTCAAGCATGTTGCAGCAAGCTTCGCTCTTGCATAAAGCATTAAGCTCGTCCTCCGACGGCATATCCGTGTATGGGTAAAGCTTGTATCCTGAGTCGGCGGCGCAGAGCTTCGACATCGATTCGAGCGGAAGCAGATTAATACTCAATAAATCTGGTGAGCACTTCTCAGCGGCGATGAGAGAGCCGAACATGGTTGCGATAGCGGTAATGCTAGCTACAGTCTTCATGCTTGCTTGGTGGGCGTGATCTCGTTAAAGCAAATGCTTAAATACTCGCTCAAGAACACCTTTTACATGATTGATTACCTATCGTTTGGACGTGTTTACAGCTATTAATTATTAGGTTGCGGGTGCGTGATCTCGCAAACGCAAACGCCCAATTCCTGTAATGTATGTACTGTTCCGGAACTTGTTCAACGACGGAGCCTTAAGGCAGTCGTATACTGTATGACGCCCTATTCAATTTAGAGCCCACCGGTATTGGCGTTTCACCACCCCATCCGCATGACAAACCAGTTGCAATCTGTTGTAGCTGAAAACAGTGCATCTTGCCTTCCAAAAGAGGTCTTTAGAGACATCTATTATACAGGACTTAGAAGTGCTGTCCTGCTGCATATGTGGTACTTAGTAAATATGAGTAAAGTCAAACTCGAAGCTGCCTATCAAATTACTTTAGAATTGTTGGTGCCAAACTTTTTCTGCCAGTAGCTAGGGCTGGGGATGACCTCTTTATAAAGTACCTTATGTGATTGGCGACGCTCGGTCATTAGCGACAAATCCAGCAGCCAATCAAATTGATTTAAATTTCGTGTCGTCGCGCTTTATGTGCTTGGCGACCAATATAATTTTGAGCATGTCATATAGTTTTTTCTATGCAGGTATCTTTTATGCTGGCAGAAAGGCTGGACCACCTCAAGAATTTGACTGTCGCCAATCACATAAGGAATACGGTACATGTTTAATACTGATTAATACTGTAGCCAAACATTCTTTTGTTCATTGTGTCATTTAATGAAATCATCAAGTCGGGTGTAATCATCGCACTCGTGTCGCGTACATGTACAGTACGTAATACTTATCAGATAGTATAAATTTAAAATTTGATAAATCTCATTAAGATATTAAAGTGGTGCTGTGATTAGCATGGTGACCCAAGGCCGGTATTTATAATAGTGCTCCTGCAACAATCAGGGGACCAAAAACTTGAGAGCAGTGCCTTGCAATCGTACTTAATATGAGGAGCACAAATGAGCCCCACATCCTGGTAGCTAAAATAATGGTATAGGCCCATATCACGTAGCAATTTCGAACTCGCAAACGACCAACTTACCAGCAATATCGGAGGCATCACGAATGCGTGTAGATCTCGATGAGTCTGTGTCGAAGACTTACCCAAACGTAGCTGAAATTCGACCCAGCAACACGTCAAGGGCGTTTAAAAACAAAACAAATGGAATTCCTGGAGCACCATTCAATTCGCTCACACGCTACACGGTAACATGCATCTCGTCTTGGAGAAGTGTGTCATCGGCCGCGCGAAGCGGTAAAAAACCTACAAGGCAGAGTCCTGACGGTTGGAAAATCGACTGTGAATATATGTTGCTGCCTGCTTTTTAACCCTTCTACGACCACGTGGTGTGCAGTATCTCAACATAGCACAACTTCATTACAGTATAGTCGCCCCGTACTACCATCGAGCCGGAGAAATAGGATGAATGATCCAATTTGATGCTGTGATTGGCTCCAATTGTAAGGCGGCGTAGTCGTAATAATGAACTGCTCTATTCGTTACCACTCAAAAACCGATTTTATGTTGCGTGACTATCGGCGATTCACGCGCCAAAATCAATGGTACTAGACGCAGGTGGCTACTGCGCGCACGAAACCCGACTTTGCAGAGGGAACTTTGCCTATTTGTTGTCGCACAAGCAAGTTGATTGACAAATGGGCAAAGCTCGTCCGGTCCCAGTAAGTTACACATTCGCCTACAGCCCATTGTCACATTACCTCATAATTAGTGTTTTGTGAGAGAATGAGCCTGTGCTACCGCTGAAAATAGCAGATAGACATCCAAACCTCAGTGGATTTTGATGATGCTTACGCTGCAGACAGCTATGATTTCTGCAAACATGCCTCATAATTGCGAATACGCTTGTGAAGCTTTGGCGCATATCTGACGCGTGCGTTTATCAACAGGTGTATGTGGTTTGCTTTAGTTTAATCGGCATCCTACCAACTGAAAGTGTTCATGCTACTAATCCACGACGTAAAGACACAGCAAAGCCGTCGACATCGGGGCGTATCGCTATATCAAGCCTTACGCACATTGCTAACACCATCCATTGGATATGTTATATTATGCGTAGTACCGGTGTGGTCAGCGAAGGTTTCTGCTGTATCCCACCCAATACTGCTAAAGGTTGTGATATAGATGTCCCAATAATGTTCACTACGACAGTATTTGCGCTGTATCTTCATAAATTGGTGTCCGCTCCCAAAAAACGCGGTGGCTAATAGACAGTTGCCAAAGACGAGGCTCTGCTTACGTTATGACTACTTGTGGGTCACGATATCTACGTGCTCGATCAAGTAGCTGGTACGCGAGCTAACTCTGTCGCATATACTCAGCTTTATTAGCAAACGGAAGCAACAAGCCAAGTTCGTTTATTAGCGTGACGGAATTTATGGGTTTCAAACTATCAGATAGTTCAATCGATACCGTTGCTCCTTTGCTCCTCCGCGTGCACCTAATGTTTTGATGTAGTGCTGTGCAATGCCAACACTGAATACAGTACTTTGCAGACATGGACAAAGCTATCAGCACCAGCTCTCCATAATGAAGGCTTTCCTGACCGAAGAAGAGATGGAACTAAATCGCAGAGCAAATACCTCTATTCACCCTTTAGCTGCCGAAACCAGCCCAAACTGGATGTAAGCATGCGACACATGAGCTATCTCTACGACTTGATTTCACATCAAAGAAGTACCAGTATGCGAGTGATTTAGCTTTTTCGTTGTTTGCTGAACACTAAAACGTGCAATAGTGTTTTGCTGTATAATACAGCATACGGAGCTAAAAGGGTTTAATGGGTCTAGCAGCGAATTATTAATAGAAGTAGACACGAAGAGAAAAAAAGCAGAGTCATAGGTTGCGCTTTAGACAGGTACTCTTCGAAGGTCATTTTGCTGTACCACAAGGCATGCCTTATTTCTTGGTTTGATGGCCGTTACAGATATACCTCCAATAGTGTCAATGCATATATGGTGAGCTCAAGCTCAACAATCTATCGGAAGATGGACCCATCAACAGATGATTGCAATAGATAACAGTGTGTCTTAGCGTATGGTGCTTGATTTCGCATAAAATCTAATTTTATGCGAATATCATGCCTTATTCCGGAAAACATGATTCTTGGAAAAGCACATGCTTGTTTTTTTGCATTTACCCTGCTGTTTTTAGTATTTTCGCATCTCATGCTACTTCTGGTATAAGTACGATCCTATGAAATACAGTTGGCTACATTTGTGACCCAAAAATTAAATTATGGAGGCTTCTACCCAAGAGTCGGTCTATTTCAACGACACCCTATACCTTAGTTATGAATTACTCTTTGTTATCAATACCGGTACACTATTGTACTGGCGAGATGAAATGCACCACCATTTTTTTGTTTTGCTCATAAATACAAAAGTAATTATCGGATTAATGCCGGCAGACCCGCAATGATAACAGGGTAGCAAAGAGATCACAGACAAACACACGTTGTTTGACTTTCTTGTCTTTTATTAAAATGGTGGAAGCTCAAACGTCTGCGGGAAATTGATGCTGATCATGCATGCACAGAACATTTCTTGCGATATTTAATAAACAAAGAAGCCTAAAGTGACAAGCTTTACGCCAGAATGCAGCTTGGAATGCAACGCATCTGCAGAAGTTGGTTTTAGCTACAGGAGTAGCGTAGGGATTGCTGCATGCAGTGTTAAACGCATCGCCGACAGCCCCACTTCCTAGGATCAAATGTGCATAGAAATGAGTAAAAAGGGCATTGTTAATTGTAATACTAAAGTTTGTAAGGACCAAAACATCTGATGCCGTATGTCAAGAACATAGCCTCGAGTTTTTGGGCGGAACGAAAGACACGCACTTTTCGATTAAGTGTAGCATGTGAATTTGAGCAGATATTCAAGGATGATTATGACTACTTAAGAGAAGAAATCATTATCTTTCCAACAAAAAAAGCTTATATAAATTGGGTAATTGGGTGAGAAGTTGTGAAGGGGCAATGTTTGGTGTTGCATTTCATCTCGCCAGTACAATATCAGGTACTCTACAAGTGCAAATACAGCAGCGAGACACTTCATCTTCCTCACTTTCCAACTTGCCAATGAGGTTGGAGGTCTCGTCCTCCCACTGTCGGTTGAGGCGGTCGAACACTTGGCTGGCTGTACTGGGCATCTTGGTAATTGACAAGTGAATCTGAGCTTCCTCTCTGTGCTTTGACTTTTTTCCAAATTAAATGGCCAGGATTTCGCGAAAACCAGATATATTATAGATAATACGATGTCGCACTACCTTCAGATACATATTTTTGCCAATGATATCACGCTGTTATGTATACTTGAATATTACAGCTGCAGCCTAGTTATATTAAAAGTGATTGAGCTATATGCGAAAATATCGCAGCTTAGAATTATTAAGGCGTTTTAAATTTGAAACTGTATTGTTTGCGCCAGATAGCGTTGTATCGTGAGCAAATACTGCTATATAAGGTACATGCACATAACTGACGAAAAAATCACTTTTTTAGCCTGTGGCCTAATGGTCGGTTTACGGCATATTTAGCTACGACAACACCCTTCATGATATGGATGAATAACATTATCTCTCCGACGTATCTTACTTTTAGTATGTTGCGCACTAGCCAATGATAATCGTTTCTTATTCTTTATAGCCAATTAAAGCGATCTCCGTTGCATTGGGCGAATCAAATTGCTTCAAGAATACAATTATATCCAATTAAAACTATAGTTTAGGGTGCAGTCGGAAGCTGAGCGATTCCGACGTATCTAGTCGGAGTTGACGACCAGATATGTATAGTAATACTTGCTAAAGGTTTGCCACGTATCACCTGCATATTTCTACCTCTCCGACCAAGAACAATGAGCCTGAACGACTTGAAGCCCGCCAACACAAAGCGCGCGCGTGCGACGGCTTTAAAAGCGTTTGAGCGCTTCCTGTCTTTAGAGAATACTACCATGGAGCACGTCGTGGCTTTGATCGTCGCAGACTCTAGTCGCGCGAGTAGTATACTAGTGACTCTAACGGACAAGTTTGGTGTGTACCTGGCATTCCACGCAGGAGCAAAGGGGCAGCCTCTGTCGCGCCACTCCGTCGCTCAATACTTCCGCCAGGTCAAATGCTGGCTTTTGGATGAGTATCCTGTTCAAGGTGGCGCTGTAGCACGACAGCTGCTCAGCATGGGGCGTACCCTTGAACAGCACTGCATCAAGCGTGAAAGTGGTGGGTTCGTCAAGAAGGCTATTGCGTGCACAAAAGAGGATCTCAAGAAGATGATACGCTACTTATATTCAACGGCTCGCTGTGCGTCGGACTACCAAGATGCTGCGTTGTTGTGCCTCCTGTGGTACCTCTTCGGCCGTGCATCAGACATTACGTTCGTCCGGAAGCAGCAGCTCTCCGTCGGAGCTGGAGGGGTTTTCTTTATCCGATTCATCCGCGTGAAGACGTCCGATGAGCAGTCACTGTCACTTTTTCCTGACGCTGACTTCATGACTTGTCCGCTGCTAGCGCTCGCGCTGGCCTTGATTACGCAGGAGTCTCCGTGTGCAGCGTTGCTAAACCATTTGCCGGTGAAGTCGAAGGACGTTCCTGTTGACCTAGCTGCCTCGATACCATTACTGGAACTTCTTGACGACAATAGTGCCCTGAATTCTTCTCAGACGTCGCCAGGTAGCACCACTGTTCACGCGACACCAACAGCTGGAATCCACGCTCTTGTCAACCGCGTGCTCGATCGCGTTGCTGGTCCTGCTGGAGTCGAAGTGTCGCTGACGTCACATTCGTTTCGCCGTGGCGGCGCGCAACACGCGAACGCAAACTCAGAGCTGGCAGCTCAATGGATCTTTGATCGCGGAGCTTGGAACTTGACTACGACTAACAAAGCCTTTGCGTACGTCTTCAACACCCCTAAAGAAGATCATCAAGTTGCTAAGGTGCTGAGTGGGATGACGCCAAAGCAAGCATCTTCTCTCCCGTCCCTGGAATCCTTCGACGCTGCAACACTAGAAAAGGTTAGAGAGGTTAGCCGGAAGCTTTTCAGCTCGAGCCATGATCTGGGTAACAAGGCCTTTAACGTCTGCCCTGATGTGATAGATGTGCTAACAGCAACCCCTCCTCCTCCACTACCCGTCGTTAGTGAAGATCAACGCGAAGACACCTGCACTGAAGACAATTCACCTATGTGCGGAAGCCTCTGGAGTGACGACGACCAACCTGCTTGCATGGTCACAACGGCTCACAGCGTCAAATGAACACGCCAATACCACCGCCGAAGCCATGACTGAAGAAAATGTAAAGGCCAACGCTGCGTTGAATTATCAAACTGCCTTGATTGAAAGGTTAATTGAGGTCAGCCGTAGCCTTGAAGCTCGAGTTAACTCGCTAGAAGCTGCAATGAACAACACCGAAGGGGAAACTTTAGCACGAGATAATCAAGCCAAGCGAGTAAGAGACGAAGATGAAATCGTACCAGTAAAGCGTCGCCGTCGATCCAAGACAATACCGCTTGTTGACACGTGGTTTGCGTGGTACACGGCTGTTCCGCGTGGATGGCAGAGTACTAATAAGCACAAGAAATCGGATTCCAAGCAGCTCGTGGCCTTCATGAGGCTCTTCATCGAAGACGGGTACGCGCTCGACGAGTTATCATCCAGCTACAAAGATACAGTACGTCAGCTCGGAGAGCTAGCGTCAAACAAAGTCACAGTGTTCCTAGGCGAGCAGGGTGTACCGTCAAAGGGATCCAACGCTGTGCTTAAGGTTCTTCGGCAGATGCACCGCGAAGGCAAGCTGAATAGTCTCATCAGTGCCTACCATCAGCGTTTTACCATCGGCAGAGTTGTAGACCCTACACCAACACAGCACCAAAGCATGCTCAAGCTGCTCCCGTAACACAATCCAATCTCTCTGTGTCCTTGTAGCTGGTTCTTATATCATGTCAATCATGTAGAGACCTGCAAGGCATTCGATCATAATTTTTTTACCAATGGGTGGATTTGAACTACCTCCTTCCCTTTCGGGAGCTCTACCATTGAGCTACATCGGTGGGGGTTAGACAACAACAGCACAGGGATACTCATCTGGGTGCTCGACGGGGAATTAACGGTGATCCACTGTTCTTTGTGGCCGCGACATACCCTCTTAAGTGTACCGATGCGCGGTACGCCCCCCTCAATTCACCGTTCCAGGTGGTCAATCGAGCACTGAGCTTGCAGGGCAAAATGGCGCAGTCAATATTGCACCGGCGCCACTCGTTTACGAGGAGTAATTACGCTCAATGAACCAATTAGCGCGCTTTTACGAAACCTCCAAATTTAGGTATTAAGTACGATATATAAAGTTTTGCGATACGTCGGATCGGAGTCGGAAGGTGCTCGGCTGGTCGGAGTCGTTATGATATGGAGACTGCACAACCAAGCTGTACTTGACAACAAGGTCAGTGATACAATCGCTAACGCAATCTGTGGTATATGCCGCCCGCCTCCTGTCAAGCCTACACAGTAGCAAAATCATGGCTATATCAATCATGAGTTTTACGACGGAAATAACTTTTCCGCCAACGTTAGCCACTTGATTGCTAGAAAATTATAATCGAACGACCAGAGAAGACCATATTTTGCGGATGTTGGGTGCCATACCAGTACCGACAACATACGGATTGGACCTAAATAATGACTGGATGTACACTCCAGGAGCAACGAGGTACCCAGATGGATATTACAATCATAAAAGGCAATTGCAGGACCACGACTTTAGATCAAACGTTCCCACGCGTGGTAGCCCTAGACCAAGACTGAAAAAGCGCATCGCAACAGATAGATGCACAAGCAACAATTTTACACCAACACAGTGCGTCCCTCAACTAGAGCGATTTAGACAAATGCTAAACAGCAGATTTGCAGCTCTAAAAGAAGAGCATACAGGCAAGAGCAAGCAGGATCGCTACGACGAAAGTCTCGTGTGGATCGATGGACGTCCGATGTGGGCACGTACAGTCATCACAGCTAGACCGCGGCGGCTGGTCTTGTGACCGCCCGTATCGATTGTAAGTGATGGAAGGGCAAGCCCCCGGGTGTGTATAGAAGCTGGTGTTTCTAACAAGACGGCGAAGGAAGCCGAGGAGAGGGGAACGCGCAAGAGTGGCTAGCAAAATAGCTGGGGGGGATGAGCAGGCGAAGTAAAGATGAGAGTGGCGAAGGAATCGAGAAAGGAGATCAAGGGTGAAGTCGGAAAGGCGGCGCACCAAAGAGACACAAATGTTGCACGACAAGATCCCAGAAGGCGGAGATCAAGTACCAGTAGAATAGGATGCTTTGTACGTACTTTGAAAAATCGAACGCATTCGACGTTGGGAACAGATTGAAGAGTAACACCGGAGACTTTCTAGCAGCCAGAGTAATCGCTGACTCGGTGAGATCCGCAGGGAGAGAGAGAGGGGGAGGGGTATAGGGAGGAAGAGAGAGAGAGAGAACCCAACCAATGAATATAATGAGCGTCCTGATACGTGTTTATTAAGTCGATCGAAAGAGTGACGCGGAGAAGCCACTGCTTAAGCGGTCAGAAACTGTACACCGCCTATTTGCAAGAGCAAGCCCCGCAGCTTATTTGCTACCGGAAGTAAGCGCGCAGGGCTGACACGCACGTAAGTCAGCCGGCGGACCACCAGGCCGGCTATAACCTACCAAAGACTCCGAGAGCGAGCAGCACAAGCACTGCTCCGAGTACCAAGTGTAGAGCACGCGCGACCGTACCTTGTATTTCGGACCGAGAGCTGCCCTGTGCAGCTGGGTGTCAGTGTCTAGTGGTGAATGGAAGTAATTGACCACCGCGGTCATCCGAAGTGCAGTGAGGTGGACGCCGGGCAAGATACCAGGTCGCCGCAGGAAAGGTAAACAGCTTATTCAAGCTTGCAAGCGAAGAAATTAGCAAAATTATACGACATCCAGCATCAAGAACCGAGCGTCATTTGAAACTACATTATTAAACTAGAATCACAGGATCTCTCGCATGCTCACCCGAAAGATCAAGACAGAGTCAAGGGTCTAGATAAAATTAATGTCTCTTTAGAACAATTAGCATAACATCCAAATAGAAGGTCATCTTTACCATCAACAATGTTTCTGTAGTGTGGTGTTCATTGTCACTATAGCTTTAATTTTTCACTAATATTCCCAATCTATGGGTGAAGGCTACCAGCTAGCATTGTGAACCAACAAAAATTGAGCTTTGTTAATCGTTTACAGCTACTGAAATGCCATCTCCATGGTCGTTTAGGTTTTGAAGCATTGCTGGTTTTGCTACCATCGTGTCTACTTCTATCATTAATTCATCAGCAGATCGGTTTATTTAGACTTAATGATAAAAATGGATAATGCGTCCTAATAGCTGAGCTAATTTCAAGTGGACCCGTTTTTGTAAACATTCTTTACTGCGTCACTAATAAATACATGACGTTATATAGAGGCTAAATGGAAGCTCCAGCCGAATGTTAATAAAGCATTTTCGTAGCTTAGTTTTAACCCAAGCAGTTGTGCATTCACTTTAATACATGCTGTTCTCTATCGTAATCGTGAATCGGTCGTAAATAGCGACTATGTTGATGTCCACGACGTTATGAATAGCCATAGGTCTGTGTTAGAGCACGCACAGAGCTCTAATAGTGAGGCTCTGCACAGAAGTGACGTCGTCACTTACAGGTAGATTCATTATTAGTCAATGATAGAGGTCACGGGTTTTGGGCAACGTTAGGCTTGTACGGAGCGAAGAGAAGAGTCAACACTCCGGGAGAAGACCGGGGCGAAGACGCTTGAGGGGAAGAAGGAAAATTCCAAAGTGATTGATTTATCGGAGCTTACACTGTCCTCAGTACCTAGGTCATCTAATCATTTGGTGGATACACTCACCAACACTCGTCCAATCATCCTACTCGTCTAATCGTCGATAGCGTAATTAACGTACCGTAATCATCGCGGGATCGTTTTGGACCGGTTTGGTGATGGGTTTATGGGCACTTACCGTCTGAAACCGGTACCACTCAAAACGCCCCCTCAATGCGAACACGCGTTGACTCCGAGCGCCGTCGTAAATTCCTTGTGATGTGGCCCCGGAAGCGTCTTCGTCATGGTGTCCGCCAGCATCACAGAGGTCTCGCAGTACTCCAGCTAGACCTCACCGCGCTTGACCTCATCACGAATGTGATGGTACTTGATGTCGATGTGCTTGGCCCGACAATGGCTCACTGGGTTCTTGGTCATCTTGATGCATGACTGGTTGTCTTCGAGGATCTTGAGCTCTGGCCACGATTCCCCTGCTGCCGTCAAAATATCGCAAAGTAGGCGGTGAGCCTTCTTGAATAGCTTAACGTAGAGCAAGGTATTCTGCCTCGCTTGTTGACAACGATACACTTGACTATTTTTTGCCCCCCCCCCTCCCCACTCACGGGTGTGCTCATCAAAAGAAACGTGTAGCCCGAAGCTGACTTGCGATTGGAGTAGTCACCAGCCCAGTCTGCGTCAGAGTGCTCGCAGAAATCCACTTTGTCACCGGGCTTGAAGCAGATTCCATGCGACTTAGTTCCTTGTAAATAGCGAAGATGCGGGTCACAGCAGGTCAGTGCTCGACTTGTAGGTTCTCCATGAAGCGAGAAACGTACCCCACGGAAAAGGCAATATCTGGTCGTGTCGCGGTCATCAAGTGCATGAGTGCGCCTACAGCCTTGCGGAACGGAGCGTTCACCTATGTCGATGCGCTGCTTAGGACTAGTCGAGAGCTAAAATCAGCTGGACTCACCACCGCCTTGCACTCATCTATACCAAAACGCTTAAGGATGTCGTCGACATATCGGCGCTGGCACATCGTCACACTGCCGTCAGCGTTGTACACCAATTCGATTCTTAGTACGAACGCATACTTGCCACTGTCGGTCATCTCAAAACGCTTCTTGAGATCGCTCTTGGTGGTTGCAATTAGCTTGGCCGAGCTACCAGTCACCAAAACGTTGTCTGCTTAGACCAGCAGAAGCACACAGTGACCACCCACAATCTTGACGTAGAGACACGGGTCGTATACTGAAACTTGAAAGACGATGGAGCACACGTAGTCGTCGAAAGTCTCGCTCCACACGCGCGATGGTTGCTTGAGATCGTAGATCGCCTTCACCAGCTCCAGGCAGTCGAAGTCACCATCAAGTTCGACACTTTCTGGGACCATGCAGAACACCACTTGTATGTCATACAGGAATGCTGTCACCACGTCCAGATGGTCCAGGGGCCAGCCATGAAACACGACCAAAGCAATGGTCATGCGCAGCGTCACATACTTTACCACGGGCGGAAACGCTTCCGTGTAGTCAATGATGTACTTCTGCTTGAAGCGTTTCGCCACAAGGCGCACCTTGTACTTCTTGATCGAACCATCCACTTTCGTTTGATATTGAACACCCACTTCGTAACAATGGCCCGCTGACCGTTCGGTAACTTGGCAGCTCGAAACACACCGCGAAGTCGCATCGACTTAATGTCGGCACGGATGGCCTTGCGCCAATGCACTTGATCAGATCCGCTCACCGCTTCTTGGAACGTTACCGGCTCAGCTAAATCACCAGCTTCCACTGCGTTGGCACGTGCTCGCCAAAATACAGGCGGAGCTGCGTCATCGTCGTCTTGATCTTTGACGTATTTTTCTTTTTCATCGGCCACATCACGTACATTACGCACACCTGATCGGCGCTTTGTTTGACACTCAAACAAGTTTTCTGAAGCATTAGCTTCTTCTAAACCGGCAGCCTGTTGTGCAGCGCGCGATCTCGTAGTCATGTCGTTACTTGTGCGGGACTTGCGTTTCCCTGAATTCCGTTGGGCCCGCAGCTTCAGTATCGTTGCTGCTGAGAGAGTCGAGGTCGATAACCCGCCGCCATCGCTTGGACTAGCCGTTGAAAATCCAAAGTTTAATTCGTTGAAATTGACATCGCGACTGATCACCACCCGCACCGCCTCGATGTCATAACCTCGATACATCTTCGACACTTCTTCATAACCCATGAACAAC